AAGAACAATAACTTGCTTGCCCAGGAAACATCAAGGCAAGTGGTCGGATGCCCTCAGTGCAAACCCCTTTCCAAGACTAAGACGCTGTGATTAGTGACCACACTCGACACCGATAAGGGGAAGTGAGGGAAAAACAGCAATGAAGTGGTGAGCTAAGCCCTACAACGTTCAATAGACTTCTGTGAACCCGGGTGAAGACCTGGTTGGCCAGCAGTGTGGCAAGACCTGGGGACTCTTGGGCCCAGAGTCAGTGACATAGCCTCAGAGGACTAGAGTGGAGAGTGAAGTGTCCAGCTGATAAGAAGAGAGAGCATATGCATAAGAACACCTACACTTGCAGATAATACCCACTTATCCTGGCTTCAGTGACTGGATGATCAGAGATCAACCAGAAGTAAAAAGAAGAGGGGAAAAAAAAAAGTATTCTCATACAATTTGATGAACTTGACCTACACCTAAGGAAGCAGTAGCTCAAAAGAGGGAACAAGTCCTTACAGCAAGAATTATTCCCAACCCTCCGACTCGATGGCACATAACAACAACAACAACTCCACACACAGAGTAGATAGGGAGGGGCAACTTGGACATTGGCTACCCAAAATGGGGGGCAGGGGGCTACAAAGGCAAGAAGTGACTGGCTTACAAGCTTTCAGGAGGGAACCTAGATCCAGAGGGCATGGAGGAAGTTAGATTCTCCAGTGAGTAGTATTCAATTTGACTAGGCAGGGCTGATGCAACGAAATGCAGATGGGTCTCTTGGGATACAATAGTGAATAATTGTTATCAGGACTGATTGTGAGTGCTGGAAATGTAAATGTAGACATTTTATAGCAAGGAGGGGAGTGATTAACTTTTCAGTCTAGGAGCGGAGGTCCCTAGGACCATCAAGGGAGAAGAGCAGAGAGGGGGACCCTACCCAGAGAAGCAGTGATGCCTGAAATGGAGCCAGAGATGATGACGTGGAGGGATGGAACACCTGGAGACTTTAGATCCAGAGAGGGATAGCAACTGTGTGCTGAAGACCTGGGGGGTACGGGGAAGGATTGCATGGAGGGGATTGTAACCATGGCAGTGAGATGATATACAATAGAATGAATGTAAAACTAAAGTTCTCCCATATAAACTACCACATAATTCACAATAAAACATTTAAGAAAAAAAATTAAATAAAAATGTAAAGAAAGAAAGAAAGAAAGAAAGAAACAAAAAACTGACTCAATGGCACTTAACAACAGCAACAAAAGGGATGAGAGAAGTTTTATTAGCTGTGGCAACTAATGTTTGTCCCATTAGCTAGATAAAATTATCAGAATATTATAAATCCGGTTTCTCCAAGAAAGGAGCCCTGGTTGTGCAGTGGTTAACTGAAGTTAGTGGGTCAAACTCACTAACTTTTCCAAAAGATGTGGACATATGTTTCCACAAGGATTTACCATCTTGAAAACCCTATGTAGCAGTTCTGTTTTTGTCCTATGAGTTGAATTGACTTGATGGCAACAGGTTTGGTTTGGGTTTACCAGGTTGGAAATGTGGAGACACATTTTAATCCTTGCTTGATAAAGCCCATTTTATTGTAAAAAAACAAAACAAAACAAAAGACTTAATGAATAGTATAAATAAGATCCTACTAAATATTTAGCATAGTTAGGAGAAGAAACTTTTAAAGTACCCTTTAATACTGCAGTCCTGGTGTGGTGCTGTGACATAATGCACTGGACTCCAAGGTCAGTGTGAACCACAAGGTCAATGGTTCAAATTCACCAACTGCTCCTCAGAAACCCTATATAGGGTCTCTGTAAGTTGGAACTGACTTGAAGGCACTTAACACTACAACGACGACAACACTGCAGAAGAAGTTCTGGTAGCATAGTGGGTTATGAGTTGGACTGCTAACTGCAAGGTCACCAGTTTGAATCTACCAGCTGTTCTTCAGGTATAAGATAGGCTTTCTGTTCCTGTAAAGAGATACAGTTGCTATGAGTCGGAACAAACTCCATGGCACATAACCACCACCACCTCTACTGCAGAAGTATAATTTATGTATAATTTAAATGTTGAGTAAACATCAGCCTTATTCATTCATCAGAGCAAGATTCTTAAAAGCTTCAGTAAACGTGTTTGAGTTCAGTAAGGTATGCACTTGATTTATAAAACTGTATTTTTAAACACATATAACATATTATTGAATGTACAAGGGCTCTGGTAGCGTAGTGGTTACGAATCGGGCTGCGAACCTTAAGGTCAGCAGTGTGAAACTACCAGGTGTTTCGCGGGAGAAAGAGGAGGCATTCTGCTCCCGTAAAGATTTACAGCCTCGGAAACTCAATACAGGGTCGCTATGAGTCGGAACCGACTCCACGGTACATAACAACAACAACATAACTTATTATTGAATGTACAAGGGAGCTTCAAAAAATTGGTGGAAGATTTAGTCATCTTTTCATTCTAGTTTTCTATGAAAATTTTAAAGCCCCTTTGTATTATTATGTCTGCATGTGTATATATATATATATATATATATATATATATATATATATATTCTTATTTTTCTACTTTAACTCAATTTTGTTTTGACTCTATAAAATAAAAAATACGGTAAATGAAGCTATGAAATACACATCAATCACAAAACTGCATATAAAGTTTTATACATTGTTACAAGACAACCTTAATTGGAAAATTTAATTCTTTATTCTGTTTTCAAAACATATGTGCTTTTAACAAAAGTCTAATATGTCTTTAGTTAGTACCACACACTTGAAATGAATAAAATATGAACATATTTTTTTAAAAGGTTGCTTTAAAGATAGAATATCACTGAGTGAGGATCATAGTCACACACAATTTACTAAAACCAGAGGTGTACCCATCAGTGTCAGTTCAGGAAAGTTAGTGTGGGAGGAAATGGTGGCTTTTACCAGTTGTACTCCATATGTATTCTCTGTGTTTGAGATATACTTGCAGTCAATGGAAAGACAGTTTCAGAAAGTTTGTAAATTTTCTTCAAAAGTGACTAGAAACCCATGTAATTAGAAAGCTGCTTACTGTGTGTTTTTATTTGCGCTATGAGAGGCACTGAAAAGTTTGGGCATCCTGTTTGTTTCCACCATCTGCTGTATATCACTCTATTATGCTCATTTGGATTCCTGGTATGACTCTGTAGGACAAGCACTAGACTGAAAGGTTGGTTTGAATTGCAAGGTCGGAGGTTCAAATCCATCAGTTGCTCCTCGGAAACCCTATACAGGGTCGCTGTGAGTCAGAGCTGACTTGATGGCACGTAAACAACACAACAATGTGCCCATTTATTCATATGTGTTTATAAGATTGTCATTGATTTTATACAAATCACTGAGAAAGCCACCTATCTTCATTCTCCCTACTCTCATTCTTGGAGACAAATCGGCAAAATCTGAGAGAAAGGAGGGGAGTGAAATAGGAAGTTGTCTGAGTACATTAGGGAAATTAGCAAAGTGTTTGCCATCAAATCAGGAGAAAAAAAATTAAGAGAAACATTCTCTAATGTCTATACATGGGACCAGAAAAGAGTACTTAAGGCATTTTTACATAACTCTCTGTGTAATAGCCCAGGCCACAGATACCCCCAACATTCAAAGTTAGATACTTATTCTGTCAAAACTTTACACACACACATCAAAACTACTTACATTCAGGAAAATTTCTGTGTATGCTTAGACATACACACACAACTGCAGGTGTTTATGAGAAACAAAGATATTCCCACAGATATCAACATATACAGAAATGTAAACACTAGAATTAGTGGTGGTGGTCATTGTGTGCCACTGAGTCAGTTTCTGCCCATAGAGACCCTGTACAGGGTTTCCATAGCTATAAATCTTTATGGGAGCAGAAAGCCTCACCTTTCTCCAGTGGAGTGACTGGTAGATTTGAACTGCTGACCTTGAGGCTAGCAGCTCAGCTCATAGAACACTACACTACCAGGGCTCCTTAATCATTAGAATTAGGAAGTGAAAATATAAGTGCAAGAGTTTGTAACTAGAGGAGGGAAGTGAGGAGTTGGAGGTGTTAGATCCTGTAGAAAGTACATAGTTGAGTGAGACAGAAACCAGGTGAACACAAGAGTGCTCAGTAAAACAGCTATAAACTAGACTCTTAAGCTTCTCTTTGTCAGGGTTAGGTACACAAGGCTATCTTCAGGGAATTAACCTAACCTCTGATTCCCTCTCTGCTCCCTATGTGTAAGACATTATTCATTCCCCTTCTCTGGAACTAGGTTCCTGGCTCCATTTCTCTAAGTCATTCTGCATTTTCTGCTGCAATTTTCATAACATGTGATTTTAATTCTTAATACAGTAGTCCTTAAATAAACACAATGTGTATTTAAAAATATTTCACCAAAATGAAAGTAGGAATTGTGTACAGATATAGAGAAGGCAAAAGCAGACACAATAATCCTACATAAAAATGATTTCATTATTTAATGTGAGGCAACATGTGAATAAAGAAGGAAACTATGATCCAAAACTCTTGTTTTCAAAGAAAAGGGACAAAGAATAGATATATCCAATTTATAAATGATTGAAATCCAATATATCAGGGACTATTCACTTGAAAAAAATGTCCCAATCTACTCCCACCACCACACACACACAGTAAAACCAAAGAAAAACCAAAATTTAGGAATCAGTTATTAATATCTGTTCCCCAAACTGGTTAAAAAACTAAGTTGGTAATAGATCTAGATAGTGAAAATACATGCAAACGTCTATAAACCACAAAATAATAAAGGGCAATATGAATTCTCTCGTTGAACATATACACCCTAGTATCGGAGCTCTGGTAGCGTAGGGGTTACGAATCGGGCTGCGAACCTTAAGGCCAGCAGTTCGAAACTACCAGCTGCTCCGCGGGAGAAAGATGAGGCGTTCTGCTCCCGTAAAGATTTACAGCCTCGGAAACCCTGTACAGGGTCGCTATGGGTCGGATCCGACTCGACGGCACTTAACAACAACAACAAGTGAACTTCCAGGTAGTTTCACTTCTTCTAAAAATGTTAGTTTATAGGAATAAATTTCTCTTCTTGGGAGGGATAGGATAGAAAGGGGTAGGCTAGAAGTAATCAGGCAATAAACTTTCAGTTTATGTGTGGTCAACTGAGACAGAAAACAACTGCCAAAAGACTTCCAGCAGCGAGGACTCAGAGCCCTCACTGCATTGCACAGATGCTGTGGGGCAAGAACTCCTTTACGTAGGTGGCGGCTGCTTTGGAGAGGTAAGTCATGGTGCCAAATCTGCCACTGGGTGCACTGTCATACAGAAGAGTACAGATGCCAGATGCAGGATCCTTTGCCAACATAATATCATCTGCACCGAGGGTTTTCTGTTTGGTTTTTAAGAATGAGAGAACAAAGGGGGAAAATGATAAATTGTATTAATTAATGGCGTGATAAAGATAACACAGAGTTTCCTTCCCATTACTACCTAGGCTGTTTAGCCATGGAGAGATCAGAGTTATACACAAAATTAATGTGTTTTTCACTAGACCCTCAAATTATATGGAAATTATTTAAAATTATTAATCGTTTAGGATTTTTCTTCATAGCAATTTTTATAAGTTAAATGTAATAGTTAAATGATTTCTACCTATTTAGGGTCAAATGTTAACACCTACAAATCATCCTAGTGTCTTTGGTCTGAATCCTAGTACTGCTGATTTCAACATGAATAATTTTATCTTGCATTTAATCATTATTCATTTCTAAATCAACTTGATTAAAATATGCCATAAACTTCCCAAGGATAGAGTCTATGCCTAAAGTGATCACATTTTCTGATACCTGGATTTTCAGCAATCCAGAATATTTAAAATTAGAATTAATTCCCCCATAGTACGTAGTAGGACAAAACACCTATTCCATGTTTTGGAGATTTTTTCCTATGTGCTCCTACTCTAAATCTAGAAAACACTTGAAAAGTATTCAAAAAGTAGTATTTATTTTAATGTACTTAAATTTTCTGAAGAAGCTTTATTAAGAAAATCAGGAAAATAATTAAATTTCATTTAAATATTTTCCTATGAGTAGCAAAGGCAAAGCTAAAACACTCCCCCAAATATTTTTTGCCCTTAATAGTCCAGAAAAGCTATGCTTCCCAATAGTCTTTTATTAAGTCCTTATAGCTACAAAAAGTAGTGTGATAGGAGATTTGAAATATGATGAAAAGCATAAAAGCCAGGCACCCGCTACCATTCAATACAACCACAAAACACAGTGAAAGACAGAGGTCTTTGTGCAGTCTACTTTTTTTTATAAAAAGAGCTCAGGTTTAGGGGCCTAGAAAATGTCCCAAATAGAGTAGGAGAATATGTGGAACAAAACTCAAAATTATAAAATTATTAAAAAAAAAAGACCAGGCTTACTGGTAAGAAAGAGCCCTTTGCCACACTTTAGGTCTAGAAAGGAACTCACCCTAGTGGTCCAATTTTCAGCAAAGCAGCAGATAGATGTATAGGGAGACAATACCACTAATAAGGTATGCTCACCATGGAATGGTTGATCACTCAAAATTAAAAGGGCAACATTTACCTAAGCACAAAGTTAGAAGAGATGGGAAGGTGGGCAGAATAAAAGTAGGCATCATAGGGAAGAAGTGGGACAATTGTTGTTGCATGGAGGGGATTGTAATTATTGAGATGAAACAAAGGGTATGATTTGTTGAATGTAAAACTGATGATCTTGTCTGAAACTGTCACCTAATTCACAATAAAAAAATTTTTAAAAATGTCCTTGGCTTCATTCACCTTTAAAAAACATCAGGTTTGCATACCTGTTCTTGAAGGAACAAGTCATTAGCAATATGCACTATTTTTTCCACAGCAAGGATGTTTCCAACGCTATGAATTTCAATATCTGCCAGCATAGTGAGGACAAGGATAGCTTCAACCAGAAGCTGACGATACTCAGGCTGAGGTACACGATTCAGGACAGATTCCACATGAACAGAGAATTTAATCTCGCCTGGAGTCATCTGTGATAGAGAAAAAGAAAATAACTTCCTTAGAGCCCATCATATAGGAGGTATCAATCACCTATACTAAAAAGCAATAAAATACTACAGTCAAAAGCAATGCTTCAACCCCCTTCAAAGTAACCAAGTGGGTGGTGTTCTTGTTTAGTACCACCAAGTCAGTTCCAATTAACAGTGACTTTATGCACATCAGAATGAAATACTGCCCCGTCCTACACCATACTCACAATCATTAATCTTGAGCCTACTGCAACTGCCACTCTGCCAATCCATCTTGTTGGGGTCTTCCTTTTTTTCGCTGACCCTCCAATTTTCCTAGTATGATGTCTTTTTCCAGAGAATGGTCCCTCCTGATAATATGTCCAAAGTATAAAAGACAAAGTCTGGCCATCCTGGGTTCTAAGGATCATTCTGGCTGTATTTCTTCAAACACAGATTTATTTGTTCTAGAAGTCTACAGTAATTTTAGTATTCTTCTCAAGTACCATACAAGTAATCCATGAATTCTTCTACAGCCTTCCTTATTCTTTGTCCAACTTTCACATGCGAAGCTGCTGAAAATACCATGGCTTGGGTCAGGTGCACCTTAGTCCTCTTTTAAAGTAAGTGTTCTTGAACACTTTAAAAGAAATCTTATGCAGCAGATTTCCCTAACACAATATGTTGATTTCTTGACTTCTGTTTCCATGAGTGTTGATAAAGCATCCAACCAAAATGAAGTTGTTGACAAATTAAAAAATTTCTTCATTTATCATGATGTCATTTATTAACCCAGTGGTGAGGACTTTTGTTTTCTTTACATTGAGGTGCAACCCATACTGAAATCTGTGGTCTTTGACCTTCATCAGTAAGTATTTTAAGTTCTCTTCGCTTTCAGCAAGCAAGGTTGTATCGTTCACATATCGCAGGTTGTTCTCCAATCCTGATGCCACACTCTTCTTCATATAATCCAGCTTCTTGGATTATTTGCTCAGCATACAGATTGAATAAGTATGGTGAAAGAATACAACCCTGACACACTCGTTTCCTGATTTTAAACCATTCAGTTTTCCCTAGTTCTGCTTAGGTTCCTTATGAGCACAATTAAGTGTGAAAGTGGTTGCAGCAGTATTAGTTACAAGTGAAAATCTAGAATGAATCTAAATTTGGAAATTGTTGAGTAAATAATGTTCTATGGTATAGAAATTTCATGATTTTTTTTTTTTGCTGGAGCCATTTAAAATAATAAATATATTGTCTGGATACAGGAAAATTTTAAGTAGAACTACAACTTGTATATTCTTGATTATTAGAATTATGTAAAACATCTATATACTATTAGATTAAAAGTAGGCATAAAGAAATGCAAAATTAATTTGGGGTTAAGGTGACTGAGAAATAATTTTTGGAAAAATTGTATTGCTTATGTACTCTAGGGGGACAAAGTGGATTTAGAGTTTGAAGACCATGGTTTAAATTCTGTATTTGACACTTACTTATTAGCTCTATGACCTTGGGCAATTTATTTAATTTTCCCACATTTGTTTCCTTACCTGTAAATTTGGACCTACAATTCTATCTTATATAGTTGTGTTGAAGATCAAATTAAATACTGTGTGAAAGTACTTTGAAGACTCTTTAAGGTGTCAATTAGGAACATAGTATTATTAATTCTATTAATATTTCAATCTTGATTTATTAAAGAAAATGCCAGTAGGCAAGAATGAAACCCTGAAGCATAACATGAACTTTCTATACCCTTTGCCTTTTGCTGCAAAAACACCAATTTTTCAACAACTTCCCACTATTAGCAGCAATATTACTACTCCTAGCTTGCTATTAGGAGATATGGTATAGTGCCATAGGATAAGCACTGGATTGCTAACTGCAAAGTTGCTAGTTCAAACCCACCAGATGTTCCTTGGACATCCTATGCAGGGTGTGGCGCTTTAGGATCAGCATTGGACTTTGAACCACAAGGTTGGCATTTCAAACCCATTAGGTGCTCCTCAGAAACTATACAGGATCTCTATGAGTTGGAACTGACTCAAGAGCACTTAACAAAAATGAGTCAGAATGGAATCAACAGCACTTAATAACAACAAGCTTGCTATTAGCAATAAGCCCGGGAAGCATAGTGGGTCATGCATTGGGCTGCTAACCACAAGGTCAGCAGCCTTAATTAGAATCCACCAGTTTCTCCTCAGGAGAAAGATTTACAGCCTTGGAAACCCTATACAGAGCCACTATGAGTTGGTACCAACTCGATGACACTTACCAACAAGAAGTTTGCTATTATAATAGAATCTTTGTTGATTTTGAATTAAAGCTATTTATTTTTCATGTGATTTGGGTGAAAGGTAAATTATAGTCAATCTTCATTATTCTTGGATTCCACACTGGCAAATTATCTTCCTCACTATAATCTATTTGCAGCCCCAAAATTTATTTGCCCAGGTTCAGAATGGTGAAAAGTGGTGTGCTACCCAACATACATATTCCCAGCTGAGGGTGTCTTCCTGTTTAAGCTCTTCTACTGTAAATAATTTTCCTTTTCATGATTATTTGATGCCAGCATTTTTACATTTTTGTTCTTTTTGTTGGTGATTTTGTTTTTTTAAATTGACTTCCAAGTATAATGCCTGTATGCTATTTAGTGTTCTTAAGTGCAAGAAGGCCTTGTGGTGAAATATGTTTTAGATACACTTTATTCAGGCATGAGTTATACTGTTGTTAGTCATAAGTTCAATGTTAACAAATCAATAATATATATTAAATAAGGTGTCTTTAAACAGAAATACACATAAACAAATGATATATTGATCAACAGATGGAAGTGCTATGATGAGAAGCAGAAACTAACCCTAGCATTTCCCTTAGGAAAAAGTGCTAAGTATTCACTAATTCAGTATGCTCAGTGACTTTATAGAACTTAATCACCATAAATAATAATAATTGACTGTATGAATATATTAAAGCACCTGATAATCCATATCTGACTATGAATATATTAAATAAGCACAAATAACAAGAATTGACTATATGAATATATTAAAGCACCTGATAATCCATATCTGACTATGAATATATTAAATAAGCACAAATAACAAGAATTGACTATATGAATATATTAAAGCACCTGATAATCCATGTTTGAAAGCAAAAAGTCATTAGGAAGACAAGAAAGAAGGAAAAAATAAAAATGGATGTTCAGAAATGACACTAACACTTGCTCTCCAGTGTAGAGATGCTAAAGCAACTGGAAGAAATGAGGAGGTACAAGAGCTGAACAGAAAATTTCAAAGGTCAGCTCGAGAAGACAAAGTCAAATAGTACAACAAAATGTGCAAAGATCTGGAGTCAGAAAACCAAAAGGGAAGAACACGCTCAGCATTTCTCAAGCTGGGGGAACTGAAGAAAAGATTCAAGCTTCGACATTCGTTATTGAAGGATTCTCTGGGAAAATTATTGAATGATGCAAAAAGCATCAAAAGAAGATGGAAGGAATACACAGAATCACGGTACCAAAAGGAAATGGTTGATGTTCAACCATTTCACGAGGTAGCATATGATCAAGAGCCAATGATACTGAAGGAAGAAGTCCTAGATTCTTTGAAGGAATTGGCAAAGAACAAGGCACCAGGAATTGATGGGATAAAAATTGAAATCTTTCAAGAAAGTGAGGCGGCACAGGAGGCAATCACTCATCTGTGCCAAGAAATTTGGAAGACAACTATCTGGCCAACTTATTGGAAGAGATCTGTGTTTGTGCCCATTCCAAAAAGAGTTGACCCAACGGAATGCAGAAATCATCATATCTTTGATATCCCATGCAAGTAAAGTTTTACTAAAGGTAATACAGAAATGGCTGCAAGCATACATTGACAGAGAAGTTCCAGAGGTTCAACCTGGATTCAGAAGAGAACATAGAATGAGGGATATCATTGCTAATGTCCAATGGATCTTGACTGAAAGCAGAGAATACCAGAAAGATGTTTACCTGTGCTTTATTGATTATGCAAAGGCTTTTGATTGTGTGGATCATGACAAGCTATGGACAACATTGAGAAGTATGAGTATTCCAGAACACTTAATTGTGTTCTTGAGGAATCTGTACACGGACCAATACAATAGACAGTTGTTCGAACAGAACATGGGAACACTGAATGGTTTAAAACTAAGAAAGGTGTGTATTCTTTCACCATACTTATTCAACCTCTATGCTGAGCAAATAATCCGAGAAGCTGAGTTATATGAAGAAAAACGTGGCATCAGGATTGGAGGAAGACTCATCAACAACCTGCGATGTGCAGATGATACAACCTTGCTTGCTGAGTATGATGAGGACTTAAAAATACTGATGGATGAAGATCAGAGACCTCAGCCTTCGGTATGGATTGCATTTCAATGTAAAGAAAACAAAAATCCTGCACCAATAAACAACATTCTTATCAATGGAGAAAATATTGAAGTTGTCAAGACTTCATTCTTCTTGGATCAACCATCAACTCTCATGGAAGCAGCAGTCAAGAAATCAAATGACATATTACATTAGGCAAATCTGCTGCACAAGACCTTTTTAAAGTGTTGAAGAGCAAAGATGTCAGCTTGAGGACTAAGGTGCGCCTGACCTAAGCCATGGTATTTTCAATAACCTCCTATGCATGCGAAAGCTGGAGAGTGAATAAGGAAGACCATAGAAGAATTGATGCTTTTGGAGAAGAATATTGAAAAAACAAAAAATCTGTGTTGGAAGAAGTGCAGCCAGAGTGCTTCTTGGAGGCCAAGATGGCCAAACTTCGTCTCTTATACTTCGGGCCTACTGTCAGGAGGGACCAGTCACTGGAGACGGATATCATGTTTGGTAAGGTAGAGGGTCAGAGAACAAGAGGAAGACCCCCAGTGATATGGATTGGCAAAGTGGCAGCATCAATGCATGGCAATAATTACGAGGTTGGCCCAGGACAGGGCAGTGTTTCGTTCTGTTGTGCATAGGGTCGTTATGAGTCGGTACCGACTCGATGGCACCTAACAACAACAACAACAATAATCCATGTCACAGTATTTTCCAGTTGTGGCTATATATCAGAACCATCTATGGAATTATTGAAAATTAAAGGTGCTTAAAACTCATCCATGAAGATTCTAGTCAAATAAATTGGAAATGGGTGCCCATATTATTCTTAGATATAATTAGAGCTAAGGATAGATGATTTGTGAACTAGGTCTATGAGCATTTTTGGAGAAAAGGGCAGGAAATGTCTGGCCCATAAATCATGTGGTCTGGCCATGCCAAGGCAATCGCAGTCCCAGCCATCACATTTGTTGTTGTTGTTGTTAAGTGCTGTCAAGTTGGTTCCGACTCATAGCAACCCTGTATAGGGTTTCTGAGGAGCAGCTGGTGAATTTGAACCGCCAACCTTGTGGTTCAACTTGACCTTTTGCTCCAGTACTACACCAGAACTCACATAAGCCAGCCTATTTTAACCATCATAAGAAGCTTCCCTCATATAATTAATGTGTCGTTGTTGTTGTTAAGTGCCGTTGAGTTGGTTACAATCCATAACAATCCTGTATAGACTTTCTGAGGAGTGGCTGGTGAGTTTGAACTGTTAACCTTGTGGTTCAAACTGACCTTTCGTTCCAGTGCTACATCAGGACTCACAAAAGCCAGCTTGTTTTAACCATTACAAGAAGCTTCCTTCATACAGTTAATGTGCCATTGTTGTTGTTAAGTGCTATAGGTTCCAACCTATAGCAACCCTGTATAGGGGTTCGAAGGGCAGTTGGTGAGCTTGAACCACCAACCCTGCAGTTTAAACCGTGTTTGCAATCCAGCGCATTAACACACAGCACTGCACACTGCACCAGGATTCCATAATTAATGTAGTACATGACTATTCTCTAATGTTCCATTTGTTGTTTAAAAAAATATCTTTCTTTAAATGCAATTCATATTTAGTTGATTTATTATATAGTATACATGTGTTACTTTGAAGTAATGATCAGTGAAATACTTTAGCCAGAGAAGTTATGAGACACAGAATCTTACCTCCTTAGTGGTTGAAGAAGGAAGTACAAAACCTTCCACAGAAAGTCCATGACACTATAAAATAGAAAAAAAGTTGTCACCAAGAATATTCTAACAAGTGGGAAGCTGAAAATAGACATTATTTCTATGTGTGCTTCATTGGGTATATGCCTGGCACAGGCAGTGAAAGGCTTGGCTTCCTAAATGTCCCAGCCATAGCGTCACTATTGTTATGTACCAAAATGCAGGTTTGGACTAGGAGGTGCAAGTTTCATGCTACACTTAGGGATGTGGAATGAACAGGGTAGATCTACCTTCTAGGACAGAACACTTCCAAACATTCAAACTACCTGGGAGGATACCATGTTATATCCCAGGTAGTCTATATATTATAAAGTCACTCAGAAAGATTTATGATACAGACAACAATGACAAAACATGCATCTAACAGACATGTATATTGCTGTTAGGTGCCATTGAGCTGGTTCCAACTTATGGCGACCCTATGTACAAAGAACAAAACATTGCCCAGGCCAGTGCCATCTTCAAATTTGTTGTCATGTTTGAGCCACTGTTGCAGCCATTGTGCTGGGGGGTCTTCCTCTGTTTCATTGTCTTTTTCCAGGGACTAGTACCTCCTGATAACATGTCCAAAATATGTGAGACAAAGTCTCACCATCCTCCTTCCAAGGAGCATCTTGGCTGCACTTCTTCCAAGGCAGATTTTTTTGTTCTTTTGGCAGTCCATGGTACTTTCAATATTCTTTGCCAACACCATAATTCAGATGCTTTGATTCTTCTATGGTCTTTCTTATTCATTGTCCAGCATTCACATGTATATGAAGCTGGTAGAATTCTTTATTTTTTTCATTGACTTTAGTGGTTAGTGCATAAGTTTGGTCTTAACTGGTGTTCCTTGTAAGCGTATGCATATTATCCTACCACAGACAGTATTGTACTTTGAGATAAATCTTGAAATGCTATTTTTGGTGATGAATGTGATGCCATTTCTCTTCAATTTGTTGTTCTGAGCACAGTATTGTCTGATTCAAAATGGCCAGTAATGGTCCACTTCAGCTCACTAGTGCCTATGATATCAATTTTTTTTTAAAGTTTTTATTGTGAATTGAGTGTTTAGTTTACATGCGGGAATATCAGTTTTACACTGGGTATCAATTCTTATGAATTCCATTTTATTTTTTACCATTTCCAATTTTCTTAGATTCATGTTTTTACACTTCACATTCTGAACATTTGCAGCTCTTTCTTCTCATTTTGAGTTGTGCCCCATCAGTAAATGAAGGTCTCGAAAGCTTTCCTCCATCCATATCATGAAGGTCAACTTTACTTTGAGGAGGCAACATTTCCTCAGTTGTATTTTGAGTGGCTTCCAACATGAGGGCCTCATCTTCTGGCAATATATTGGACAATGTCTCACTGCTGTTCATAAAGTTTTCAACGGCTAACTCTTCAGAAGTAGTCTGCCTCTTCTCCATAGTTTGTATTAGTTTAGAAGCTCCGCTAAAAATCTGTCAACCATTAGTGACCCTGCCAGGTCAGTGGTTCACATTCATCAGGCAATTCATGGGAGAAAGATGAGGCTCCTGTAAAGATTTAAAGTCTAGGAACTTTTATATAAAGAATCCTAAATAAATAAAAGTCCTAAATAAATCGATGGCAGTAGGTTTGTTTTTTGGTTTTATTAGAATATAAGTTACATGATCATGGAGACTGTTGTCTATTTTTTGTTGTTGTTTTGTCTATTTTGTATTGTACAATATCACTAGGACCTAAAATAGTACCTGATACACAGTATATGCTCAGTAAATATTATATGAATGGTATTTTTATTTTCCTTCTCACTACCAATTTAATTATCAATATTCAGTTGGAAGTACTGACTTGCCACTTTATATTTTAAATAAATCAAGGTACCATAATTAAACAACCATAGATAAAGACACATTAACACATTTTTGTGTGTTTATTTTCATCACAATAATAATAATAATAAAAATAAAAGAAGTTAGATAAAAGGAAAGCAAAGATTATTAAGGTTACCAAGGGTGGGAAGGAGGGAAAAGGAGGAGGATTTGTTTAAGGGGCTGAAGTGCAGTAAATTGCTTGCTTGATGTGTCTCTTCTAGACACGATTTTTGTAACTACCTCCAAATGACTTTTTCCTGATGAGTCTTTTTAAGAAAAGGTGTGGAAACGTACTGATGTAGTTGTTATCATGGCTAATTGTAATTGTAAAAACTGGGAACTCTAATGTGGGGACTGGTCAATTTTGCTATACTTCTTGGTATAAAATGAGCCATCTCAGAAGCAGGAACAAGGGATCTTCCTACCAACGAGAAAGATGACCTAGGAGCTGTACACATCCTTTGGACCCCAAGAACCTTGCACACTAAACTTCCTCAATGAAAAAAACAGAGTTGTGACACCAAAGGGATGGCAGAGGAGCAACAGCAACAGAACCATGAACCAGAGCGCAAGGTAGAGTAGTGGGCTTCCTGGCCCACAAAGTGTGTAAAGCTGAGTGCCTTCAGGTAGGAGGCTTACCTGTGGAATGGGGAGCCTCAAGACACTTAATTGGAGGGCTAAGTCTGCTGACTCACAGCACTAGAGATGAGCACCTTCAGGCTGAGGCTTATAGCAGAGTGGAATGCCCTTTGGGCATTTATTGGCAGTGCTGAAAGAACTTTGTAACATTGTCTCAGCAGGGCAATGCCAGACCATTGAACCGAAGGACAGGGAGAGGCCTGACCTCAAGCACAGCAGAAAAGCTGTCCTGACCAAAAAAAATCTATTCTTGTCATTTCTTATCCCATTAACTTCCCTATTAAATTCCATAAGCATGAGTATTGTCTGTGAGCTCTGTGTGGCCGGAGACATTGAGTTTACATTAATGATGCTCAAATATTGGTAAAGGAAAACAAGAACAGTTGTATATCTTGAATAGAATCAAAGTCACTGAATTATACATTTAAAAAATTGTTGAATTGGCACATTTTTGTGTATATATTTTCATCACACCAATAATAATAATAAAATAAAGGAAGTTGGCTGGAAGAAAAAACATACCCTAGGTACTACTTGGAAAAAAATAATGGTCAACTTTCCCCTTTCCAAAAGATCATCTTATTTGTATCTTGAAGAATAGTGGAACACTGAAGGAGTAAAAAAGAACAATGAGTTGGTTTTGAAGTACTAGAAGAAATGACTCTCAGGTCCTTACTGGGACCAATAAAGCAAAAAATCAAACTACGAGAATATGGAAGAGACCTATGAATGAGCACTCTGACCTTCTCAGCCCTATAAATCTGTCATTGCCATAATGATGCAAAGTGCACTTAAATGCATTTAGTAAATTAAATTTTGACAAGAAAGAGAAAATTGGTCATAAAAACAAACTATGGACTTTAATATCATTATAACATTACACTTATTTAGTATTATCCAAGAAAATATATAGGCAAGAGTTCCTTACACAAACTCTCCTGATGCTATAGTTGTTTTACCTTAGTGATATTAGGTTCTGAACAGTTGCTACAAATATCATTCCCAACACACAATAGCTATAAAGGAAGAAGCTCTTTAGCACCAAATGTATTCTATCAGTAGCAAATACAACACAAAGTTTCAAACTAAAATGTGCCAGCTCAACTATGTTCGACATCAGAGAAGTGATGATTTTTTTAATGTTTTATTGTGAATTATGTGATAGTTTCCATGGAAGAACATTAGCTTTACATTCATTCTATCATATATAATTTAATTGCCATGGTTACAATCCCCTCCGTGTATCATCAACCAACCAAAGGGTACATCCTGCAAGCCTGCGCCCTGTCATCAGCACACAGTCCCTCTCCCTCCCTGGGTCTAGAGTCCCCAACTGCTCCATTTCACCACGTCATCGTCTCTGACTCCATCTCTGGCATCACTGGTTCTCTGGGTAGGGTTCCGCATTCCACTTTTCGCCCTTGATGGTCCAAGGGACCTCTGATCCTGGACTGCAAAGTCAATCACTCCCCTCCTTTTGCTACACAACATCTATCTTTACATTTCCAATCCTCACAGTCAGTCCTGATAGCAATTATTCACTCTTGTACCACAATAGACTTATCCCCATCTCCTTTCATCAGCCCCACCCAGACAGATTGGATATACTCAGTGGAGATTCTATCTTCCTCCGCACCCTCTGGATCTAGGCTCTCTCTCTCTCTCCAATTAATGCTATTGTTGTTGTTGTTGTTGTTGATTGTTTTAATGTTTTATTGTGAATTATGTGATAGTTTACATGGGAGAACATTAGCTTTACATTCATCCTATCGTATATTATTTCATTGCCATGGTTACAATCCCCTCCATGCATCATCAACCAACCAAAGGGTATACCCTACAAGCCTGCCCCCTGGTGGTCAGCACACAGCCCCTCTCCACGTCATTGTCTCTGCCTCCATCTCTGGCATCACTGCTTCTCTGGGTAGGGTCCCGCTTGCCACTTTTCTCCCTTGATGGTCCCAGGGACCTCCGCTTCTAGACATCAAAGTCAATCACTCCCCTCCTTTTGCTAAAAAACCTTCACTTTTACATTTCCAACCCTCACAATCAGTCCTAATAATAATTATTCACTACTGTATCATAAGAGACTTATATGCATCTCCTTTCATTAGCCCTGCCCAGACAGATTGGATACTACTCAGTGGAGATTCTACTTTCCTCCATGCCCTCTGGATCTAGGTCCCCACTTGAAAACTTGTAAGCCAGTTACTTCTTGCCTTTGTAGTCCCCACCCTCCTTTTGGGTAGCCAATGTCCAAGTTGCCCATCCCTGTCTACTCTGTGTATGGAGGGGGTGGGAATGACCCTGCTGTAAAGATTTGTTCCCTCTATTGAGCTACTGCATCCATAGGTGTAGGTGAAGTTCAGTAAGTTGTATCAAATTACTCTTTTTTTCCTCTTCTTTCTTTTTCTAGTTGAGCTCTGATCATCTAGTCACTAAAGCCAGGTCAAGGGCATATTATCTGCAAGTGTGGGTGCTCTTATCTATATGCCCTCTCTTCTTATCAGC